CATGGACAGCAGTGTGTGCATGTGTAGAGGAGTTGAGCTAAAATGGTCGCCATTTCTGATCCCCATTTATCCTGCCTTGCTTGTTTAAAAGATGACTCATGGCTGCTCTCACCTGTCAACTGGGGTACAGAGGATATCTGCATCAGTGGCTATGGCTATCGCTGTGGCAGACACAACATAGTCAGTGATTCAGACTTCCAGGCAGCTTGAGTTCGGCCTATTCATCCTTACTACCTCAGCCATAAAAAAGTATATACCCTTTCCCATGAGTGGGATTATTGGTAATAATGTGTGTGGTGTCTTCTCAGTGAAAGGTGAAATAGGTCAGAGATAATTTTCCAAAAGGATTGCTTTGATGGTAGCCTCTGTCACAGGCTATTATGATAGAGTTGGGGTCAGCTGCCAAGGTGTGCATCCGTTGAAATCTGATAAAAGAAGGTATAAAAACAGGTAGAACGAGAGGACAGAGTCATTTGAGGACAAAACAGAGGAAATGTCCAAGATAACATACTGGTATATTGCAGCCTGGGGTTTAGCAATTTGACAAAATACGTGAGTTACGCAAAATGGGTGCTCCCAATCATTTTCAGAATAAAAGTGTTTATTTGTAGACTCCAACATTGCTATTCGTTGAGGCCTCAGACAACATCTTATCTTTGATTATTTCCCAGAAATGTTTTCTTCCTGGAAAGAAAAGCAGTGCTTGTTGTACCTGTTGAAAAGACAAGATAAGTCTGGAACACATAGGCTATGAATACAAATTGGTAATTGAAGGGATAATCTGATTTATTAGAATAGAAAGCTGCACAAATTAATGTATTTTGTCATAGTGAAATCAGATGAGATGTTCATCACATGAAATTAAAAGATAATTAATTGTCAAAATCATTTCATCAGAGGTGGAAAATGGAAATACAGAATTGACCATACTGCCATCTAGTGATATGCACTGAATGTAAATGTGACCCTGCACAGGCCTACTCAGGGCCAGCTGGTCCCGTCTGTTTGTGCTTAAGCCAAGTCTCTGTGTATTATATATATATATATATATTATCATTCCAAAGATGAGTTGGCTACAGCACAGTATGGCTAGTACTGTTTAGGCGCAGAGCTGGTTTGTGTGCGCAGTTTAAAAACCTGAGAACTTCCCTTTTAAAATCAAAGACAGGGAGTGACTGACTGTGATATCAACATCTGTCTATCTATACTGTACATCATGATATATTGAATATCATGTCAAGATCAGTTTCAATTACCTTGTCCAAGTCACCTAGGGCAAAACGCCAATGAAGGTTATTGCATTAGATTTTTTCTTTCCATTGTTGTAAACCCGACCTTTGTTTCTCTCTATCTAGCCTATATACCTTTGTGGTAAAACCACAGTCTTGGCTTGCTTTCCTCCCTACTTACTGTAAATGACAAGATTAGGACTCATCTGGGGCAGAATATATATTTTCTTTCCATTGCATGTAAATGAGAAAGTTGTTACAGTAGGAATGAATGGACTCATAGAGGGGCACACATACCATCCGTTCGTTTTCAGGGCCTAGAGAAATGTTCACACACACACAGTATCCCTCAAATACTGATGGCTAACTTTAACCTCTGCGTTCACAGCTTGGGTTGTTGACTTTAGTTTCTGGATGCAGTCAATGGTCTGGAGGAAGCAATGATCCAGAACGAGGGGGAACACCTCTGAGGAGAATGATGGAGAAAGGAGTCATTGAAACCTGGAATGACAAATAGGTCAGCCTGTTTACGTACTGCTGTGTTTACACAAACTTATGTTTGGCTTAGTGGGTTATTGGGCATTTTGGAATAAATCTACACCTTTCTGCGTAATCCAACTTTCATACAACAACATTAAAACTGTTTGGCTGAAATGTAATTTATTTGAAAGTGATGACAGTGACACCCCTTTAATTACTGAAGTCATCAGGAATAGGCATATTAATGCTAATGCTGCATTTGTAAACAAGTGAGAGGTGGGAATTGACCAGCTGTGAAGTCGTAAATACCAGTTGGATGCATTCACGTGCTAATGACCAATAAGCTACATAAACCATAAACTAAAAGTACAGCTATCATGCTTGTAAACAAATTATAGTGTTCAAAAACCATATTAGTCAATTGCTTTTTATAAATAATGTTTTGTTGCTTCATTTAACTGCCGAAAATGCTGTTATCGAGGTCATTTCCTTAGTAGGTGATGTCAGAGGTCAGAATGTGGGAGAAGTGGGTGAAGTGGGTCAGGATAGAGGAGTTTCCCACTAGTAATTTACCAGTTGGATGGCCGTTGAAGATTTTTCCCAGTCGTATGTGGTAAATTCCCACTTCCCACTTGGTTACGTATGCAGCATTAGACAACATGTGGGTTTGCTACTTGGCGACATACAGGAGTGACTGACAGCTCATTTAAGTTGCATATGAATGCAATATAATGTTATAATTGTATTCATATGTAACCTACACAGAGAGTAAAAAAACATTAGTTCCGTGTGGCCCAGCTGGTAGAGCATGGCGCTTGCAGTGCCAGGGTTGTTGCTTCGATTCCCACGGAGGACGAGTACGATGAATGTATCCATTGAATACTGTAAGTTGCTCTGGATAAGAGCGTCTGCTAAAATGTAATTAGGAAGACATGCTTTTTCCATGATCCTGCTAAATCCATTTCAATCAGTGCAAATGATGGGGAGTTGACAGGTTAAAGAAGGATATTTGAGACATGGATTGTGTGCCATTCAAAGGGTGAATGGGCAAGACAAAAGTGCCTTTGAACAGGGTATGGTAGTAGGTGCCAGGCGCACCAGTTTGAGAGTGTCAAGAACTGCAACGCTGCTGGGTGTTTCACACTCAACAATTACCCGTGTGTATCAAGAATGGTCCACCACCCAAAGGACACATTTTTACATTTTTTGTCATTTAGCAGACACTCTTATCCAGAGTGACTTACAGGAGCAATTAGGGTTAAGTGCCTTGCTCAAGGGCACATCGAAAGATTTTTCACCTAGTCAGCTCGGGGATTAGAACCAGCAACCTTTCCTTTAATGGCACAACACTCTTAACCACTAAGCTAACTGCCGCCAGCCACGTTAAGACACCCAGCCAACTCGACACAACTGTGGGAAGCATTGGAGTCAACATGGGTCAGCAACCCTATGGAACGCTTTCAACACCTTGTAGTCCATGCCCAGACGAATTGAGGCTGTTCTGAGGGCAAAAGGGGGTGCAACTCAATATTAAAAAGGTGGTCCTAATGTTTTGTACACTCAGTGTATACAGTATGAGCTATCAGTCACTAACTGTAGTGAGCAATTAGTTTAGAAGAAATCATGGTTTAATTTGTGCAGATTGATGTTGAGAAGGGATCCCAATCAAAATCATGGATGTTTGGTATAGCATAACAGTGTCAAATTGGTTATTGAGGAATATTCAGCATGCACACATCATCCATTGAGTAGCCTACACATAACATATCAGACCTTGTCATATGATCATTTGAGAATGTTTCTATATCGTGATGATGCAGTTATTGCATATGATAACAATTTGCTCCATCAACAAAAGCTGTGAAGTTACTTTGATACAAAACCTGGCACCGTTGCGGTGAGAGCCTAAAGTAGCAAGTAAAGCCCTTTGCTTTCTTTGTTGTCTTACCTAGACAAAGTCACAGCTAAGTAAAACACTGCTAGTAGTACACTACATAGAGAGAGTGCCTCACCTTCGACCCTAGGAGGTGTGCATTGCAACACAAGCAGTGTTTTGTTTTGTTTCTCGCAGTATAAAGGCTTTCTTCATCATGTCCTAAAGTCTGATATTTTTGTCTTGTGGCACTTTTTCTCTCTTTCGCTCAGTCCAGCCGGGACCCGCCAATCCCACACAGGTTTCTGGGAGAAATAGTGCAGTATTTCAAGCAGCACACTAACTCAGCCATGGGTTTAAATTAAGCATGATGTGGAGGGACGGGGAGGGAGAGCAGGGGGTTCTGCTGAAATCCTTTTGGCTAACTCCCACAAGGATACACAGTCCAGTGGACAGATCTTTGGAATCCACTAGTGGAATGAGATGCACAGGTCATATACTGTAGATACAGTATGCATTGAGAACATGCTCTAGGGAACCTGTAGAGCGGCAGAGTGGGGAGTTTGTGTAGCTTTAAATCTGCATTCGTTTTCAACCACTATTCCCCCACATCTGGTTTTAAGTCAGAAGTGATTATCCGCGATAGCTCTGAATATTTTCGAACTATTGAGTGACTTTACTTTATTTACTATTTGGTTTGGGGCTGTCAAATATTTATGTGTGATACTGTAGCCAAGTCTAACTAAACATTACCATCTTAGCTGTGACAGTGAATTTTTTTTAAATATATTTGGGTGTCAAATGTCCTTTCATTTATCAAATAAAAATAATATTTCTGTTGCTTTGTTGCTATAACATGTTGACGACTCCATTGGTGGAATACAAACACACTGCGGCTCTCTATAATATATCTTACAAACACATCGAGAGACTGCTAGAGGTGCTAAGACGAGTACATACTATTTTAATACGATATGAAAGTGACATTTAGAAAAGAAAAGCACCTATGGACAAGTCTATCCATAGACAACAAATCATACAGACACATTCTATAAGCACTGATTAGTCATGCAATCAACAGTAGGAGCCACTCTGTGACTTAATGTCAAGGTTGATAAGCCTTTTGGTCCTCAGGGGCCTAGTTGGCTTTGATTGGCTAGTTGGCTTTGATTGGCTTGCTCATATTCACTACATGGGGGCCATCAAAGTAGGTAATTATCTTTTCGGGGTGAACAGGGTTAGCAGGGAGCAGTCAGGAGACCAGGAACCAGTAATGACTGGTAATTGTACAGACAGGCCTGCTCCACTCATGTTCTTCCTCAGAGCTGATATGACTGGACGTTATTGAAGTCCAGCAGCCAGCCAGGGCCTATTATAATATAGCTAGCTAACTAACTCCCCTGGTTTGTGTCCCTGTCCTACTTGTGTTGTCGCAGCGCCTGCAGGAAGACGTGCTTGACTTGGTTCATCATGTCACTGCAGAGCTGCAGGTCCTCAGCCTTGGCCTGGAGAGTGCGCCTCAGCTCAGCCACTCAGAGCCTCGTTCTCCCCTGCAGCACCGCCAGCCTGGGGGACAGAGGGAGGGAAACACACAACAACATGGTGGTGTGCTCCACTCATGTAGGAGTTTGTAATGTATGAATACCCTCTGCGTTTTTCCAGCTGTTCTTATTCTTCATAGAAAGCAAAACTCCAATGTATACATATGTGATGCATCTGGCTTTGTTTCCCCAATTGGGATTATACATACATTTACATTTTAGTCATTTAGCAGACGCTCTTATCCAGAGAGACTTACAGTAGTGAGTGCATACATTTTCAAACTTTTTTCATACCCATGCCCCATGCTTTATCAACTGAGCTACACAGGAACACCGTATTGTATACTGTGTAAGTATTTCTAGTATATTAGTTATGTAGGCCTCCTGTAGCTCAGTTGGTAGAGCATGGCGCTTGCAACGCCAGGGTTGTGGGTTTGATTCCCACGGGGGGCCAGTATGAAAAATGTATTCACTCACTAACTAACTGTAAGTCGCTCTGGATAAGAGCATCTGCTAAATGACAAAAATGTAAAATATTCTGTAGTCTTGTGTGTGATCTCACTGAAGACTTTAAGAATTCAACAGAGGTTGACAGTTTGTTTCTCCAGGCAGTGAGACCGACAGGGTCACCACCCAGGACTTCCAGGAGAGATGGAAGACAAAAAAAACACTAAGTCAGACTCACTGGGTAGTTAGTTCAGGGCTTCGAGAGGATGATTCCCCCTGCCTCCCGCTCCTGGGAGAGGAGGAAAAACAACAAATAAGAGAAATAGCAGGTATGGATCAATATAAATCCCATTCTCAGTCTTGTTACTGTGCTATTGATCAGTGTGCCTAATCCAAGACTTATCTCCAGTGCCCTTCTTGCTAGTTTTCCTGGGAGTCAATCCTTTGGCCAGATCCAGCTTTTCCTTCTCTAGCTGCTGCTGTAGGGATACGGCCCTTCTGCGTTCTCCCTGGAATTTTTGCTCTGCCCCTAGGCACCCCTGCTTCACTTCCTCCTCCCTGTCACATCAATCACACCAGCCCAGTCTCTCACTACAACTGTGTGATCATCATGAAAATCCCCATCAGGTACTGTAAAACTAGCAATTACAAAGAAAACACACATAACTCTGCTGATGCAATGGTTTGAAAGCAGTGATAAAAGAAGAAAACAAAAAGTCCCACACAAAATATTAGCATTCTAAACACCCACTCGGAAACTAAACTAACATACTGTACACAATACACCCCAAAAATAAAACACATTGGGTTGCTGTATGTAATACCTGGATTGCTGAAGCTTTAATAGCTCTAGGAGCCTATCTCTCTCCACACAGGCAGCCTCACAGAGGGTCCGGGACTCTGTACACTGGGAATTCAGGGACCTCACCTCCTCTGAACAGTGCTGACAACCCGAAGGAGCTCCTGCATCTCTGAGATAGGAGTAGTAAGCTGTATCAGTAAGTGCAGTCCACCATAAACAGCTTTTATTGTTGTACTAATAACAGTTATTATCAGAGAGAGGGATAGGATGATTTGTACCAGACATTGCTGAGGCTAAGACTTACCTGACCTCTAAACTGATCCCAGCTGCTGATACCACTCGTTTATGTCCAGGTTTATATGGGAGAAGAAAAATACATTGAGAAAATGTATAATGCATCAATATAGTCATTCTACAATCAATGACACTATCAACAGATAGTAGGCAAGTTAGAGAAATCATATGTACAGGAAATATACATGGTCATGGATGTACTATAATATTTGACATGACACAAGATTATCTTATATTTATGATTTCCACATTAACACATACCGGGGCTGAGTTTATCCTCTTACTGCTGTCTCCCCCTGCTGTCGAAGGCCTGGAACTGCCAGTGGTAGTCTTGGGGGCCTGACTGACCACCATCCTCTCTCTGCAACACATTTACAAAGTCCATTCTGTTTCAATTCCTGTCCTGAATTCCATAGGGCAGTTTCATTTGAATACATGCTCTTCACCATATAGCATCCTGGTGCTGGTGCCAAAACTCTCAGACAACCCTGTGAGTTGTCTAATAGCGCCGTCGTCAATTGAGGTATTTATATCCCCTCCTCCAGCTCTTTCACTTTGGCCTCCCTCTCTAAATGTATTTATATCCCCTCCTCCAGCTCTTTCACTTTGGCCTCCCTCTCTGAAGGTATTTATATCCCCTCCTCCAGCTCTTTCACTTTGGCCTCCCTCTCTGAAATTATTTGTATCCCTTCCTCCAGCTCTTTCACTTTGGCCTCCCTCTCTAAAGGTATTTTTCTCCTCTCCTCCAGCTCTTTCACTTTGGCCTCCCTCTCTGAAGGTATTTTTAGCTTATAGGACAGTTGTTGTCTCCCAATCTCCCATTTCAGAATCACAGGTAGCTTACCTTTAAGGACAGTTGCTATATCTCATCCTCCAACTCTTTGACTTTGGCCTCCCTCTTGGAGACCATGTGTTTGAGCTGCTGGATGAGGGATGTGTGTCTCTGGGCCCCGCTGCTCAGCTACTGCCCCAGGTTCTGCTGGCTCTCCTTGGTCTGCACGTCCTGTTGGCTCAGCCTGCCCAGCACCTCCTGCACGGCAGGGCAGGGGAGGGGAGGGGGCAGGGGAGAGGGTTAGGGGGACAGGGGAGAGGGGACAGGATTAGGAGGAAATGGTTAGGGGCAAGGAAGGGGACAGGGAGATAGGGTTGGAGTGAGGAGGGGGAGGACATGTCAAGGGACACTTCACTATCAGGGGACCCTTCACTCTATGAACATCTGTGTACTAGTGTATGTGTTGGTAAGCATCAGCATATTACTAACTAAAGAGTAATGTTTAATTACTCTGTGATATGTATTTGTATTTGCTGTTGGCAATTGCAGTAGGCCTACAGCATTAACATACTGTTGTTAAGTAAAGAGTACCTGATGCATGATAAGTAGTGTTTATAATCAAGACTAATATCAGACATAAAGGCTATGGTAGGATTTCATTTACATTGATCCTGGAGGGAGCACCTAACCAGAGGTTTATAAGCTTACTATACATACCCTAACAAACCATGATCATCTCGACTGAAGACATCTACATAATATAACTAACATGAGGCACATGATGCTGTCTCAAAGTTTTAATCTGATATACCAATACACCTGGGTCCATACATTAAATACTTATCTTTAGAATGGAATAGTCCCAAAAGTGCAAACCCTGCTCATCTGAAGCAGCATCACTCGAAGCAGTTCAAAGAAAACAAATACTATTTGAATACAGGTCTGCTTACATACCAGTAGAGCTGGTGGAGTAAAACATTACTCCACCAGCTTATCATCATGTTTTCTTTTGTCCAGCAGGTTGGAGATCTGGGCCTTCAGTGATTTCATCTCAGTGCTCAGGTTCTTGTTTCTGACCTTGGACCCTTCCTCCTCTTCTTCACGTCCTCGTGGTCCTTCATGAGGCTCTAGGTCCCAAACCTGGGGACAAAACCAAAGGAGACACATTAAGATGACTACATTGTAGTCTACAAATCACATTGTATGTTAATGACTTATGTGATCAAATCAAATCAAAGTTAATTGTTCGCGTACAGTTTAGCAGAGGTTATAGCGGGTGCAACGAAATGCTTATGTTACTAGCGCAATATTTTATGCCTCGAAAGCTTTCAATGACAGCAGTCAGTCAGCCCACCCTGCTCTGGAGAGACAGTATCTGCTGGGAGTGACCTCTACAGATCCCTGGGCTGGTCAGTAGCTGCTGGATGCCTCACCGGATAACACCTACAGTAGTATGAACAAACCCAGGCATGGAATAGTATTTAATAAGCTTTGAAATGTTTCAACTATTAACAAACACCTCTAATGATTATTTTGTAACAATCAAAACAATCCTTATACACACCTTCTGAGCTATTCTCAATTCCTGTTTGACAGCTTGAATCTGGTTGGGCAGCAGATAGTTTTTCCTGTAGAGACTGTTCTGTTGGTGAGAGGAACGCAGTCATAGCTGTCACTGACAAGTCACAATATTAATACCAATACAATTAGCTTCAAATAAACATATACAAAAGTTTTACTAAATTGCATTTCAATGAAAGCTACAACAACACAAGCATTTCTATGTGGCAGAGTTCCCTTGAGTATTGGCTCATATTTGTTCATGACTTAAAAATCTGTCATTAAGGCTAATTACCTCCTGGAAGTCATGGGATGACCTCACTTCCTGTGGCTTTACATCCATCTTTTTCCCAGGAGGACTGAGCAGCAAAGATCTAAAGTATTTACCATAATTTCAATTATTTTAATCAATTATGCATTCAGTCAAGAGCTTACATCAGTCTATAAAGCAATACCGCTGACAAATGGCTGATTGGGTCAACAAGTGGAAATTCTTTGGCATTTATGCATGAAGTTGGGATTTTCAATCCTGTCATGACTGTCCTGTGAGGATCCAAATAGGTCAGATCAGGTTTGCAATTAATAACTTCAACCAGTCCCCCTCTCACCCGCAGAGGGGGGGAGGAGGGAACTGGTGGGGGGGTTGACACCTCACGCCCTGTTGTAAATCAAGGAGAGAAGATTCAGGTCTCCCTCTCCAATGTTCACCAGAGAAATGTGCCTTTGTTTCCACAGACCTTTCCCGCCAAAACTCTAACACGTTCTAAAGCGAATACTGGAACAATATTTCTAACATAGAACGTGGGGAAGGCCATGTTGTTGTCATTCTGCTAGGGATCTGTTTTCTCCAGTCAATAACCAGTGCAGAGTGTGTATGTTTATCCTGTGTTCCCATTTAATTAGCTAGTAAATTAATAATTAAACCAATTTGTGTAGTACTGAATCAGATGCAAGGAGGTTACGACGTTCAGAATGATGATATGATACGAGGTTATGATTAATAAGTTGACTGTTTATAGATGTGATTGGTAAAGACCTTTTAGAGTTTAATTCAGGAAATGGTAACTCTTTAAAGAACCGCTCTCGTGTTGCCCCAGATACTAATGAGTTAATTGTTACATGATTAATTTAATTGGGTAACAATTAAACATAGTTAGTTAAATAGAGATAATTCTTCAGATTAATGTTAATGTCACGTCACGACAATCCAAATATCACTGTCAATGAACAGACTGGTTATGAGATGGAATTCTGTTTGTTAGAGTTGTTGATTCGTTGCTATAGCAAACTCAAGTAGCCTATAGCAACCTCAAATGTTAATATTGATAAGTTCTTCAAACATCCCATTTACCTATTTTTCAAGCTCTTTTACTATGTTTCTTTATTTTTATTTTATTTATTAAGGATCCCCATTACTCTTCCTGGGGTCCAGCAACATTAAGACGTTTATATACAGTTACAAATATTATATGACATTACATTCTATAACACTTTACCCAATACATTTATTGTGTTCCCTCAGGCCACTACTCCACTATCACATATTTACAGTACAACATCAATGTGTACGTGTGTGTGTAAAGTGTGTGTCTTATCATGTGTATGTGTGTCTGTGCCTGTGTGTGTGTCTCTTCACAGTCCCCGCTGTTCCATAAGGTGTATTTTTATCAGTTTTTTAAATCTGATTCTACTGCTTGCATCAGTTACCTGATGTGGAATAGAGTTTTATGTAGCCATGGCTCTATGTAGTACTGTGCGCCTCCCATAGTCTGTTCTTGACTTGGGGATTGTGAAGAGACCTCTGGTGGCATGTCTTGTGGGGTATGCATGGGTGTCCGAGCTGTGTGCTAGTAGTTTTAACAGACACCTCGGTGCATTCAGCATGTCAACACTTCTTACAAAAACAGGTAATGATGAAGTCAATCTCTCCTCCACTTTGAGCCATGAGAGACTTACATATTAATGTTAGCTCTCTGTGTACATTTAAGGGCCAGCCGTGCTGCCCTGTTCTGACCCAATTGTAATTTTCCGAGGTCCCTCTTTGTGGCACCTGACCACACAACTGAACAGTAGTCCAGGTGCGACAAAACTAGAACCTGTAGGATCTGCCTTGTTGATAGTGTTGTTAAAAAGGCAGAGCAGCGCTTTATAATGGACAGATTTCTCCCCATCTTAGCTACTGTTGTATCAACACGTTTTGACCATGACAGTTTACAATCTTTACTATTCTTGGGTAGCGGAATTACTTTTGCTTCTCTCCAGGCCTGAGGGCACACACTTTCTAGTAGGCTTAGATTGAAGATGAGTGGAAATATCGTCCGCTATTATCCTCATTATTGACAGACAACAATATTTTTTTCACTTTCACTTTTTTCACGGAATTCAAAATTACAATGCTTGTCTTTCATAATTTGATAATTTATACTTGGATGTGAAGTGTCAGCATTTGTTGCTGGCATGTCATGCCTAAATTTGATCTTGCCAATGAAACAATCATCAAAGTAATTGGCAATATCAGTGGGGTTTGTGATGAATGAGCCATCTGATTCAATGAAGGATGGAGCTGAGTTTGCCTTTTTGCCCAAGAATTCATTTAAGGTGCTCCAAAGCTTTTTACTATTATTCTTTATGTCATTTATCTTTGTTTCATAGTGTAGTTTCTTCTTCTTTTTATTCAGTTTAGTCACATGATTTCTCAATTTGCAGTATGTTTGCCAATCGGTTGTGCAGCCAGACTTATTTGCCATTCCTTTTGCCTCATCCCTCAACCATACCATTTTTCAATTCCTCATCAATCCACAGGGATTTAACAGTTTTTACAGTCATTTTCTTAATGGGTGCATGCTTATTAGTAACTGGAGTAAGCAATTTCATAAATATGTCAAGTGCAGCTTCTGGTTGCTCCTCATTACACACCACAGATCAACAAATATTCTTTACATCAACAACATAGGAATCACCACAAAACGTATTGTATGACCTCTTATACACTATATCAGGCCCATATTAGGCCTATATTGTTGCTGGTTTGCTTTGCTTTAACTTTTTCTTGTTCAATTTCAGCAGCCAACTCTCGATTCCTCTTAGAAAGCTCAACAATCTTAGTAGCTGCCGCATCACCCGCCAAGCCCGATGTGCCTTGGACAAGATAGTCATAAAGTCAATAAAAAAGGAAATATGCCACTTCAGACAACATCCCCAAAGTCAAATGGAGCTCTGAACGTAGAATAAAACAAAGACAAAAACATATATCATCCTTTTACTCTGAATGTATACCAATCCAATGTTTATCAACCCAAAATATTAATTGTTCATTCAAGTTGTGTCACATATTGTACAATTGTACAAGGCCAGCCTGTCTTCCTCCCTCTTCTTCTTTAGATGTTTAATCTCAGTCTCTCACTCACTAGTTTGAATCTCAACTCCCTCACCTGGTCCTGCAACTGTTCATTTTCATTCTGTTGCAGTCTGTGGGGATTCAAATCCCATTAATAGACATTTTAATATGGTGAATGATTAATTACATCAAATTAGAAAGAACAACAACAACACAGTCACATTCAGGCTGATGAAAGTGCTCCCCTTTTTCCCTAAAGATCCACAACTTGCATTGTGCTACAAGTGCTATTCCAATGCTAATGAAACCCTTAGTCCAAAACAATTGTTTCAAACACTAACCCATTTGGGCAATAATGAGATAGGATGTGGCGTGTATTCATGGACGCCAAGGGAAGCCAGGCCTCCACCAAAAAAGAAATAAATAAATGTATCTTTCGTCACTCTGTTTCATCATTTTCCTTCAACTCGCAAGAGGCTGAATGTATCTAACAGGAGAAAGCATCCGAGCGAGCAAAACAGCGCCCCTCTGTCTCTCTACGTGTAGGCCATCTATCTGATGCTGTCTGGTCCAAACGAGTATGACATTGTTGCGAGCATTTGGCCTCCCTTGACAAAAAAGTATTAAAAATTTGCCAATCAGCGTTGAGCTAAACTGAGCGAGCTCAACTGTGAATGGTCCTGGCAGGAAACAAATATGTGTCAAGGGAAGCCAACTTGGATTTGGCATCTCTCCTATCAAATCGCTTTGAGAGCGTACATCATTAACAGAAACAACTTGAAATGTTGCATCTCGTTGTGTTGTTGTCCTCCAGTGACTAGCTAGCTAAAATTGTCCCTTTCCTAAATTAGCCATGGATGGAGATAGGGATTTGGACTTGTGGTTTTACTTAATTCTCCGTACTGGCCAATGATTATAACGGCAATTCTGATCCAACCATTAATTCATACATTGTTGTGCCCCTAGCCTGAGAGGATGGAAGATCAATATGTACAGTAGCTAGATGTAGAAGGCTAATATTATCTAGCTAAAGTTGCCCATGAATGGAAGTTAGGCTAGCGAGCAAGCATTTTAGCCAGGTAGCCTAGGACAACAAAAAATAAAAACGTGTACTGCCCATGCATTGACTTTCTGTTCACTATACATGTCGGGGGATGCTATTCACGAGGACATATTGTTCTTGTTCACGATTCCCGAGCATGAAATGGCACAGGGGATGTTCAGTGGGCTGCGTGGCTATATTGACGAAAAACAGATTCCATGGGATCGAATGGTGGGCCTTTGCACAGATGTGGCTCTAAAGCGGGACAGCGGGCAGGCCTCTGCACTCTAGTTATGAATGTGTTTCCCTTTTCCATATGGACGCATTGTATGATACACTGAGAGCAACTGGTGGCAAAAGAGATATACTGCAGCAGGTAACTTCGATTGTAAACCACATCAAACCATATCCACTGTGCACACACCTGTTCGCAAAACTATGTGGAGATATGGGATCAGAGCATGACAATGTTCTATTTCATACCGAGGCTTGGTGGTTATCAAGGGGGAGTGTTGGAAAGATTTTTCGCATTGAGAGAGGAACTGTTGTCATTCACAATGGATGTAAAAAAAACAGACTTGGTTGACTTTCTGTGTAATGAAAAGAAAGTGTGTCTCCTTGCCTGTAACAGACATATTTGGGAAACTGAACGCAAGCATGCAGGGGAAATACAAAAACATTCTACAGATGAGTGAGCCTAATGTTAGGCTGCATTGGGGGATAAATTGTTGTCCAACTTTAATAATAATTCATAGCACTCACTTTCTACTAAGATAATCTGCGTGATCAGTGTCTAGCTGGGAGAGGTTGAAGTCGTCCTGGGTCTCAATGGCCTTCTGCTCCTTCTCCTACTGTTTGACTAGTCTTCTCTGGAGACGTTTCTCCTGCAGAGCCTGGAACTGTAGTCGTAGGCTATTGGGGGACATCTGTATAACTGGATCATGGACTTCCTGTTCGATCGAGTCATTTGGGTGAGGGTGGGATCAGAATTGTCAATGGGGTTGAAGTGGACGATGGTACTCCTCAGGGAAGTGTGGTTAGTCCGGTGTTGTTCACCCTGATGATAGATTACATATTTAAGAAGGTGGGACAGGGAGTGGGTGTGGCCTTGTATGCCAATGATGGGGCTGTATGGAAGAGAGGTGGGTATGTGAAATATGTGATGAGGAAGATGCAAGAAGTTGTGGAAGATTGGTCTCTAACATGGGGGTTTAGGATGTCTGTGGCCAAGTCCTGCATGATGGTGTATTCTAGGACAAAGGTTAAAGATGTTAGGCTGCAAATATACAGTCAGGATATACAGTGGAGAGAACAAGTATTTGATACACTGCCGATTTTGCAGGTTTTCCTACTTACAAAGCATGTAGAGTTCTGTACTTTTTATCATAGGTACACTTCAACTGTGAGAGACGGAATCTAAAACAAAAATCCAGAAAATCACGTTGTATGATTTTTAAGTAATTAATTTGCATTTTATTGCATGACATAAGTATTTGATCACCTACCAACCAGTAAGAATTCCGGCTCTCACAGACCTGTTAGTTTTTCTTTAAGAAGCCCTCCTGTTCTCCACTCATTACCTGTATTAACTGCACCTGTTTGAACTCGTTACCTGTATAAAAGTCACCTGTCCACACACTCAATCAAACAAACTCCAACCTCTCCACAATGGCCAAGACCAGAGAGCTGTGTAAGGACATCAGGGATAAAATTGTAGACCTGCACAAGGCTGGGATGGGCTACAGGACAATAAGCAAGCAGCTTGGTGAGAAGGCAACAACTGTTGGTGCAATTATTAGAAAATGGAAGAAGTTCAAGATGACGGTCAATCACCCTCGGTCTGGGGCTCCATGCAAGTTCTTACCTCGTGGGGCATCAATGATCATGAGGAAGGTGAGGGATCAGCCCAGAACTACACGGCAGGACCTGGTCAATTACCTGAAGAGAGCTGGGACCACAGTCTCAAAGAAAACCATTAGTAACACACTACGCCGTCATGGATTAAAATCCTGCAGCGCACGCAAGGTCCCCCTGCTCAAGCCAGCGCATGTCCAGGCCCGTCTGAACTTTGCCAATGACCATCTGGATGATCCAGAGGAGGAATGGGAGAAGGTCATGTGGTATGATGAGACAAAAATATAGCTTTTTGGTCTAAACTCCACTTGCCGTGTTTGGAGGAAGAAGAAGGATGAGTACAACCCCAAGAACACCATCCCAACCGTGAAGCATGGAGGTGGAAACATCATTCTTTGGGGATGCTTTTCTGCAAAGGGGACAGGACGACTGCACCGTATTGAGGGGAGGATGGATGGGGCCATGTATCACGAGATCTTGGCCAACAACCTCCTTCCCTCAGTAAGAGCATTGAAGATGGGTCGTGGCTGGGTCTTCCAACATGACAACGACCCGAAACACACAGCCAGGGCAACTAAGGAGTGGCTCCGTAAGAAGCATCTCAAGGTCCTGGAGTGGCCTAGCCAGTCTCCAGACCTGAACCCAATAGAAAATCTTTGGAGGGAGCTGAAAGTCCGTATTGCCCAGTGACAGCCCCGAAACCTGAAGGATCTGGAGAAGGTCTATATGGAGGAGTGGGCCAAAATCCCTGCTGCAGTGTGTGCAAACCTGGTCAAGACCTACAGGAAACGTATGATCTCTGTAATTGCAAACAAAGGTTTCTGTACCAAATATTAAGTTCTGCTTTTCAAATACTTATGTCATGCAATAAAATGCAAATTAATTACTTAAAAATCATACAATGTGATTTTCTGGATTTTTGTTTTAGATTCCGTCTCTCACAGTTGAAGTGTACCTATGATAAAAATTACAGACCTCTACATGCTTTGTAAGTAGTAAAACCTGCAAAATCGGCAGTGTATCAAATACTTGTTCTCCCCACTGTAGGTAGGGTGTCTGAGTTTAAGTATCTAGGTACAGTATGTGATCAAAAAGAAAGGAGGACCAAGGCACTCTTCATATAATTAATTAAAATGTCTTTATTTGTATGGCATGCTCAATGGAAACAAAGTTTTTAAAAGCGCTAACGCATTTCGGCTGCATGGCCTTCGTCAGGGAGTACAGAAATATGACAATACAATGTCCTCTTTTGAACAGATTTTTCCAATCAACCCTGATTAGAAGAGGGAGTGGTTACAGACTTCATTGGACAACACCTAGTAAGCAATACTATACCCATTAAAAAGTAAAATACTGTAGATATGTTATCAAAAATAGAAGCATCAGAACCCCCAGAAATGTAGTTCTAACCTTGAACATGACTGGGCAAAGTGTTAAGAACAGGAGAGCCATCCATTCATTCTATAGTACACTATAACACATCAAACATGGACCAAAACAGTATGTGGTTTGATGAGAGGCTTACGTGGAAGTTGAGCATATTGAAATTAAAAGTAGGAAGGTGCTGAACCTCATGAAGGCAGTGGCAGGATATGATTGGGGGTCGAATAGACAAACACTGTTGTATATGTACCAGGCATTGATCAGGTTATTTTTGGATTATGGGTGCTTTGTATATGGATCAGCAGCCAAAACGGTACTATAGCGCCTGGATAGGATACAGTCAAGGGCCCTGAGATTGTGTGTGGGTGCCTTCAGGACGACACCCGTTGAGGCATTGCAGGTGGATAGTGGGGAACTGCCACTGAGGATAAGGTGGGACAAACTTGCTTTAGCGTACATGGGCGAGGTTGAAAGGGGGTTCAGAAGGACATCCTGCGGTCACAGCAACTGGGGAATGCTGGGAGAGAGGAGTGGGTAAGC